CGCGCTTGGTGATGTGAGAGCCTGGTCCGGTGAGAACCCGGCGTGCTCCGTCCCGGCTTTGTAGGGATGCGAGGTCAATGGTCTAACGACTACGGCATGCACGACTATGAGTACATCCCGCTCCTGCCATCACATCTGTCGACTCCCTTCTCTAAGGCCGCGAATGAATGCGTCTAGGCAGCAGTTGAGGCCCTCAAAATGTAGAGATAAATATTTTTTGAGCCGTCGGTTGTTTCATGTTGCTCGACATACCCAATTGGACGTTGTTGGTCGTGATGTAGCAAGACGGGGGCCTGAGAAAAAGGTTCCACGCCCTTGCACATTCGAGAATTGCTCGAGAATTTTCTTGTGAAGGTTTGAAAAGAAAAGGGTGGACGGCATCTATCCAGAGATGATCTGGTGCACTGGGTGAGTGCGTGGAATCCTGTAATATATGTTCGGATGTCGGTCAGATATCTGCTTGTAGGCCTTGGCGCAAATTGCACGGTGGGTATTGTAGTCATTCCCAAAAGTACCCGACGGGCGGCGAAGTAGATTAGTTGTTCGGCGAGAAAAAACAAACAGTTTTGTACCTGCCGATCCCCGTGTTCTCAAGCATCGTCGAAAAGATTACTTCGATGCGGTCTAGGTTAAGAATTCAAAACTATCATACGAGTACTGCTGTAGGCGTGACTTTCGTCCCGGAGTAGTGCGACTTCCTGATTGACAACGAGGGATGTGCAGGACTAGCGAGGCGTTCTCGCACGTCGGGTTGATCTCATAGAACTAAGATTTTTTTTTCTGTCTCAGCCTACCAGCTTCTGCATGACGGAACCGTCATCGTTACGCACCTCGCGGCCTCATTTGACAACGACCCCCACTTCAAAACAAATAGGTTCCGAAAATCATCGAGAGGACGGACTGAGCCAAGCCGCTTTGCCAACGTTTAGGGCTAGCGAGGCTTGCTCGCGTATGAAACGGCTCATCGACTACCAATTATGGATGGTCGCGGTCCGCAGCAAGACACATCAATCTTAGGTCAAGACTCGTACAAATTTCGTCGTTCTGCCGTCGCGACCCCGAGGTGTGGCTCGTCACCACCGATTTTTTTTTTCTGCGGGGGACGACGGCAGCAGTCTAACCCTTCGCTCTTGGACCAGAGTGCTGCATAAACGCCGGAGCCAACTCGTATGCACCCGCAACCGGGTGTTTCTGTAACCAGCGGTCTCCACATCCCCTTTTTTTATCGAAACCCAGAGTTCATTTCATGGCTGGTTGAGCCAACTCGTGCACCAACCGCGTTTTTTTTTCTGAGATCCGGGATCCTCGAAAAAAAAGCTCGAGATCGATACGCTGGGTATGCAGAGGCGAGTGCCGGACACATTGAAAGATGGCAACATATGTGCGTTGTACACGATACCGACATGTTGTGTGTCGACTACCGAAAGTAGAAATCGAGTTTGTTTTTCTCACACCAACAGGAACCATCATCCGCGAATCGCGACCTCCAAGAAGGAATTCCGGCCGCGCGCTCAATACAACACCATGACCGACCTCGATCCAAGAAATGCGGGTCCCGAAGCTGTCACGTCTTGTGGGGGTGGGGGTTGTGGGAGGTGGGGTAGTAGACTAACCCTCCCATTGTGCAATGTCCACGAGAGACAGCCAACGCGGAAAGATTCCGGGGATGGTGCTTGTTCTGCTTTGCACAGCCTGGGTGGCATTGCTTTCACCAGACTTGTTGAAAATGCACAGGTACGTTGCGCTGCCGTCGACTGAACGCTGCAGCGTAGCACCTAAATAGGATTTTATCTATTGAACCACGACCCCATCCCAAAGATAGCGTGCCCAAGCGCAAAAACCTCACGAATCCCAACACAATGAACTACGGAACTTGTCACAGTACGCTCAACACACTTTACTACCAACATGTAACCAGCACGATGCCAGATAGGCACGAAGTCATACTATGCCACGGCAGATACCAGGGACAAAAGTGTTGTCTGGTATGGCCTACTTTCAGCCATTGGGGAACCATAGAGCCGGTGATACCAAAAACCAATACTCCATAAGAGCCACCCTCTTCTGCAAGAAAGAGCGAACACAACTCAGTTACCATGCAACAAGTCCCCTCTTTATCGTCCCTGTCCACACGTTGTGAATTTCCGCCAACTCCAACTACGCTCAAGCACGCAATTCCCACCAACACTTCCACAGCCGAAACGAAGGAACGCCTACAACAAAACCCCTTTAGGCCCTAACGGCACCCTGACAAAACTCAACCCGCCCCCCGCCCCCCACCATTCTCGCGGTCACCGCTGAAGTAACTCCATTCTGAGCAATACAAGGAAGGTGTCGTGGGTTCAACGCCACCTTACTATTTCACAGGATTCGTGAGCCCGTTGCCGATGCCGCCAAGAGCATCAAGGTCCAACAAGTTAGTTGCTTGGAGGGGACGCCCTATCCTTCGTCCCAAACATGGATCTATGCCTGCCCTCAAGCGCCTGAGCCTCCCGTCTATTGATTGCGTCTTTCCCACTCCACAAATCGTGGGTTCACCCTTCAAGCCTGGCAACACCAGTCATAACTAAACTATCGGGTGCAGTAGGCATTGATTTTAGACGTGACAAATCACAGCACTAGTTGGGTTCTGTTTGATGCGAAAGATACGGCAAGCGCCTTGTGCCCGCATGTTGCGCGGCATCTCGCTGACAAATACCTCGCGAAACAAACCACCGAACAAGCAACGAGCGTAACCCTATCCACAAGGCTGCTGAGAGCACTCCTACTACGTTGGCTTTCACTACAGGTACAAACAAGATGCAATTCTTCGCAGAAAAATTTAAAACGGCTCGTGCAAGCAAGCCGATCGGCCCGGTCAATTGCGGGTCTCACGCCACGCCTTGGGAGCGGATGGTTGGATACACAGTCCCGAGGCCAAAGCTCCCCACCCCAGGCCGCATGGCAGAGCACACCGCGAATCAACCGTCTTCTCGAAGCTCGCTGGCCTGTTCCCCATGCCCAGCTGATAACCTGAGAGGGTGGTCAACCTCAGTACTGGGAGTATTTCCTGATGCTCCTCCACGAGAGCAGGCAGTTCCTTCCCGAAACCGGGTTGCAGTTTCGCGTACGGCGGTGCACCCAAGCCTTACGCCTGCAGAGTGGTTGGATCGAGTTGCGGGCGGGATATTGCCGGAGGTACGGTTGTGTGGATAAGGCTGGAAGGATTGTGCTCTCTTTTTTTGTGCGTCCAGTTTTCATGCATGTTGTTGGTACGAATCACTGGCAAATTATCTGCGATCCATGTTTGCTGCCAAATCGAAAGGGGGAAAGTAAACAAAATGACGAAGATGAAGCAGCCTTCCGAACCCGCCCTGTTGTCCGGAATACGATACGAAGAACAACATGGCAAACACACCCTTTTGTACTTCGAAACGTGTCACCAGTGACCCTTGTTTTTTAGACTACCGCATGTAAGGTTGGCCGAAGATACCACCCCCCATCCCCCCCCTGACCGATTGTTCAGCTCGAAACACTTCACCATTTTCACCATGAACAGGAAATCAAAATCAAATTATACGGTTTCGGAAATCTCTCGACAACACGGTTCCACGCGGTCATTTCCGTCACCATTGCTACGACTGCTGCAGAGAAATCGGGCCTTGAAAAATCGGAGGGGCGGGTATGGTACCTCACGCAACCTACGGTATTCGGCGGCGCGTGCTACTTCCGTTCTCTCGAGATTGAGTCCACCGATCTACATGGTCTAGCCACGGCCGAAGGCTGCTGTCGCATGGGGTTTGTGCGCTCGTGAATATCCGAAAATTAAGAATTTCTGGTGTGACGGCGGGGGAGGGGGGCCTACATCTCCCCTTCTTGGATTTCATTTGTCCGTTTCCGAGTTATTGCGCGCTGTGTTTCGTTGCCTTGTGAATGGTGTTCCAACAGCAGCACGCGTGACCATGGGCGGCTAGCCTTTCGCAACAAGCGACTAGTCCGGATCAATATTCACATGCCAACCATCGCCACCCGACACGTGAAAACACGCCTCCTCCATTACACGTCTGATCGCAGAGGCATCAGCGATCATATTCGCTCCCCTCTTCTACGTCTACCGCCGTACCAAGATGCAAACTAAGTCGACAGCACAGCACGTAGCGAAGCGACTCTAGCCTAGCCGTCACACGGCGAGCGGACTAGATGTACTCAAAAGCTTTTGCGGTATGTACGGCAATAACATCGACCTTAAGAAGGGAAGAATCTAATCGGTGGCCGCACAAGAAAAATGTCTAAACGGTGCACGTGCCAAAAGAAAGAAAAAAAAACTCACCCGCAGCAGGCCTTCGCTCCCCAAAGTCTCCGCCTCGGCTGCCCTCGTTTCGACCTCCCTCCCCAGCAGCTTTTCGAACAGACCGCCCTTGCGGGGTCCCCGCTCTCCCCCGTCCGTGCCGGACAGCACCTTCTCCACCGCGCTGGCCGAGACCAGCTCCACCGTGTCGCTCATCCGGGTATGCGTCACCACCCCGTCCTCTACCACGCAGAGGAAGCGCTTGCACCGGGGGCCCATGCCTTGCGCCGAGAGGTCTACCATCATGCCTAGCTGCACAAGCGCGTCGTCGAGGGCAGAAACAAGGGGTTCCGGTAGGGGGGNGGGGGGGGGGGGGGGGGGGGGGGGGGGGGGGGGGGGGGGGGGGGGGGGTAAGAGGATGGAAGACAGGGGGGGGGAAAGGCGCTCTTAGTGAGATGCCGACGAAGAGCAGTGACTTCATTAAGGGAGAGCATGACATGCTTTCGTGAGGAAACGCTGTCAGCAAACAAGTGTTCAGTGGCGCGAGCCGTTCATTGGCAAGGTATGCCACTTGTCGGTGTCGATGTCCACGGCTCAGCAACTGCCGGCGGCCGCCTAGCGGAATGGTAGGTGCGCACGACGAGACGTAAAGGCTAGGAAAGGCACGCGCGTTAGGGACTCCAAGGTGAGGCTCTAGCTTCTGTCATCCAAACACGTTGTCCTGGCCGCCTCACCGCAGCAGAGAGGTCGCCATTGCCGTCCGCGAGCATGAGCACCTTGTCCTTAGCCTGCTGGCTGTCCTCCCACGCCTTCATCACGTACGCATCGTTCACGGAAATGAACGCCACGAGCTCGGCACCCTGATCAAACACAACCGTTTCGCAGGAAGGAGGGCACGTGTGCCGGTCAACACGGGGAAGCTACCTCGTAAGGCAACTACAGCCGATACAGCGATACGCTCGTAGTACCGAGTCCGGAGTTTGGTGCCTGTAACAATCTTGGGATAGCCCGCACTACATACGGACGAATCGAACGGATATTCAGTCACCACAACAAACAAAAACAGAAGATCCAAGCCAGCAACACCGAACAGGCCGATCGTTCGTCTGAGGCAGTCGTGACTGCTCCCGTTCAATGCAGTTTTTTCTCCTCCCTTTGGGCGAGGGTGCGAACAACGACCGACGAGTGAGAGGAAAATTTTCGACGGGACCATTTCAAAGCGCCTTGCCTCATCATTGGCAACTGCTGTTGATCATGATGGAGCAAACTGTGACATCAGGCCAAAGGGAAGTGCAATGACTCGCATTCTTACGGTACGCAAAAAAGCCGAAGGTTGCAGAAGATACTACTCCCCCCCTGGACCGATTTTCAAAGCTCGATTACTCCGCATCAGGAACAGCAGTGATCGCGCCAAACATGGCGGCGTCGAGACCGTCTTGTCGAGAGCTTTCCCAAAACGCACCATTCGATACATGGACATCATCTTCGTCATCTGGCCAGAAATAAACGGTCTACGGGGTGCGGTATCTTCCGCAATATACAATGCGGATTATACCTTCGCGGCGAGCACTCCCGACTTGTCCACGAACTCGGGGAGATGGACGGCCGAACAGGTGGGCGTGAACGCCCCCGGAACGCCTACTAGAACTCCTTTCTTCCCAGCGAAGACGTCTCTGATCGAAAACTCCTTCACGATGCCGTCATCGTCGAGGCGCCTGAACGAACGCCAGAAAGAACGAAAAGTCCAGGGAATTTTCAACACGGAGTCAACGTGAAACAGCTGGTGGACAGCACTTACTCTATCTGACCTTTGCTGTGGTTGGACAGACCTTTGCTGTGGTTGTACTGACCTTGTGTCGGACAGTTGTTTGTTACGTTTGCCGGCCACACAACGTTCATCGCTGCAAGGGGGTCAACGCATGCCCCCAGAGATCCGTCTTAACGTGGGTGGCCCTTTTGAGATGTAATGTATACTCTTCAACGAAGGCCTCATATTTTCGAAGGTCCATGCGCTTGGTAGTAAAATGCAGTTTTATGTTCGTGTTCGAGGAAACTCATGTTTCGCATGCAGTCCCGTTGATGTCATCGGCCCACGTACATAGCTTGTTCGCGCAAACACGAAAACCGGCAGCACCCCGGTGGACCTCCCCCCAAGATTTCATCCGCTCCGTCCTTCATTCGCTCGTCAATGAGGGGATCATGGCTTTTCCTAGCACGGAGACCGACCGGTTCGCCAAACAAGCGATGTGACTCAACTCTCTTATTTCGCCCTTTTGGTGTTTCCTGCTGGTACGTACTGCGTATATTTCCGGTCGGCTATCTTCCGTCTTACAACCGCGCGTGGAGACGTGCACTCTTGCTCTACAGAGCTCAGACAGGGGCGCAAACTAGCGAATAATCGTGCTGTCCTTTTCGGTCGTGTACGCCGTACGTTAGATCTCCCCCTTACGCCAGCGCTTCTCCGCGCGAGACTTTCAGGTAATAAATACTAGTAGGACTAAAGGTGGGCACAAACGAAACTGCAAAAAAAGACAAGACTGCGGTGGTTTTCTGTCGAACGTGTACAGCAGTCATTCTGTGAGAAAACTTTACTGTTACTCTCTAAATCGCGTGTATGTAGAGCAGGCTAAATCAGTCACGTGCACAAGAAACTAAGAATGGAGGTGCACGCGTCGCCAACTCCTTTAAGACACTACAACAGTCCCTACATTCCTGGGGCGTCGTCAGTATTTGTCATCACACCTGAGGTGTCAACAGCACGGTCACACCCCGGAGACGCTCGTCGCGTGTACTGCTGTACTTCAACTGGGTGGCAATGGAATCACGGTGCAGTTTCTCTGCTCATGTTTGCTAGGCCTTGGAACACTGCTTCTTGAGCCAAAAGTCCCCCTGACACGCGTAGGACAAGGCGCAAGCACCTGTCTGCGTACTATGGTATTATGCGTATCATAGAACGGCCACGCAAACCTTCAAATCGGCCAATCGTCTGCTCTCTCGAGAGGTACGTCATCACCTGCTGATTCTCCGTGCACACTCGAAACGAACCTATTCCGGTTGGAGGCCGCCGTGAAGCGAAACACAGACAGACAAACCAAAATCAACCTGCAGGAGGGAGAGCTACACACTCCTGCTGCGCTGCGTCTCTCGCCTAGGCCTTGGACACGCTGGGTGCAGCAACCAGCGTACCATCAACAACTACGTGTATGACGCTGCTGCCGTGTAAATGTTTGCAGCCTAAAATTTACCTCACGATCGAATCGGGAAGCCGATCGCCGACACGGACGCGCGCCGAGTTTTTTTGAGCGAGGCGTACCCAGCCTGGCGTCGATTGCTCCCCACGGCACACGTCGGCCGCATCCATAGTTAATCTCGGCGCTGGGCCCGCGCTGCTGCTTGTGCGCCCACTGTGACGGACGCGGACGGGTGCGCTGGCTAGATGGAAATTGGTGTAACAGTCTGCCGTCAGGAACGACATCGCCGACAGGAACAGAACGGCTTTGGTCATGGTGCTAGAGCAGGGCATCATTTAGATCCCGGCGGTGGGGCGTGGTGTGAATCACCAGGGCGTCCTTTCTCTCTCCCAACGGAGGCGTCAGGCTGTCAAGCCAGTCTGCGGGGGTTCCGCCGCAAAAAATGTGCGTGCGCAGATCTCATCTGATTTTGGGAACGCCCCGCAGTTCTTTAAAAACCATAGGGCGGAACTATATCGGCGGAGCATGCTCAGCGCAAGGGCGATACCTCGATCCACGGAAGTCAAACACTTGGTGATATTGGATGCTGCCATGGATAGGTAAGCGAGGGGTGTTGTGGCCCTCAAACAGAGAGCTAGAGGTGGTTGCAAGTAAGAAATCGGCACCGCGGAATTGCGTGTGGAACATGCTGTTTTGCTGCGGCGGGTTTGTGTCGCTCTGGTCTGCTGCCCACACATGTGTCTTGCGACTCGCTGGTGCCTGAGGGGACAGACATAGAGCTAGTTCCGAGGACCGCGAGTGTAGCAGTGAAACCGCGAGTGTAGTAGTGCGAGCGCAACCCGTGGTTGCGCCGTGCACCTGTGAGAAACGAGACGATGAGTGTCGTACAGCAGTACAGCAGCAGAGATCTCGAGACAGACCGAAGAAACACGATCTTGAAATCTCGCTGTTGTTGATGTCAACGCTGCGATGGGGCGTCGAGAGCCTCCTTACCTGCGGTTCTTCAGCGTTGGTTCGAACGATAAGCTGATTTGTGGTTGCCCGGTGGACTAGGAGGTTGGGGTATACACGAGCGACGAGTTACACCAGCGTTTCCAATAGCAACGCCGTTGTGTATTTATTTGTGGTCTGCTGCGAAGTTTCTGCTGGCCCCTATGTATGTATTATGTATGTAGCAGCAGTTACGAGCTTGCCCGAACCACTGTTCAGGGCAGGACTCACCCTGGACACCATTGCCGCGACGAATCCTTGGGAGAACTTCCTGCGATACGGTCGTCATTCGATGTTTTGTGTTCACGGATGTATTTGTATTGTCCCGCACCCCTCTCTCCCAGCAGCGAGGTGTCGGTGACACCGATGGACGTGGAACCCAATGACAACGAGAGAGGTCGCGGGCGTGGAGGTTCTCTAGGTGTCTCGAACAAGAGCACACTTCCGACACTTCCACCTACAGGTGAGGGTTAGAGGTAAATTAGACAAACGTTCGCTTCCCGACGGTGGTTGATGTGGATGCGCCGACAAGCACGCCCGCGTGGCATGCATGGAGGTCCGGACGGTAGTGTACACAGGTCTAAGATAGTGACTCGCGTTACCTGAACCCGTGGCATTTAGTAATATGAATAACCGAGGTAGGTACGGCTTGATTTCTAAACCTAGGTAGGTACGACCGAGCCATGAGGAAAGAAACCATGAAAGATGGGCAGTGTTGCTACAGAGCGCGCCCGCAAGTAGGCAACGGTCGGCTCAGTTAGTTATTTTCGCCGCCGATGTCAACCTTATTTTTTTGATAGTCTTTCAGTGTAGGATCAAATGATCGAGCTGTGCTTCTTTGCGCAATGTTTTGGTATCTCCCGGAAATCTGAGCCTCCGTTTCATGTGTTTTGAACCTTTTCTTGCCTGCGGGCGCCCTCTGGGTACACGAAACAATTGATTGATGAACTGGACACTCGTGGGTTTGCTGCTCACCCGATTACGACATTTGGGCAGGGGTTACCCCGGCTGCAGGGGTCACCCCTGCTGCGCCCGTTGCTGCCGGGAGGATGTCGCGCAGAGCTTCAGCGGGAGACGGGGCGCATGCGCAAGGCGGCAACTCCTGTAGTGGCAAAAGCACACGGCGCCGTGCGCAGAGCATGCCACCTCCACCTCCGAACAGGCCCAGGAAGAAGAGAAAAAGCGGTGCGTGCCCACTCGACTGTGACCACCACGGCGTGTTTGTCGGGGGAGTGTACGTGTGTCACGCGTGCGGCCTGGAGAGTGACAAGTGGGTTCACCTGCAGCCAGACAAGGTCGGGGAGGCGCGCGAGTGGTGGGCATCAGGCCAGAGATGGGAGGATAGCTGTGTCGCGGAGGACTACGAGCCAAGCAGCCTTTGCATTTGCAGCAGGCGCCAGTGCTTCTTTCAGCAGCACAAGCGATGGCTTGAAGCAAGAACCGTAGAAGAAAAGAAGAAGACGTGTGCGATCTGCAAGATGCGCGGAGGCCATAAAAATCACTGGCACCACCCTGGTGGAATGCTTATAGTGCTAACTTCGTGGTTCAGGTCGGGCCGATCCAGCGTTGACGCGTTTTTGAACAGTGGCGAGGATTTGACCCTCCTCAGTGACATCTGCAATCGGTGCTTTATGGAAGGCTACAACAACAAGGCTAGGATCCCCCCGGACGCGAGGCCAACGACAGGTTAGCTACATTATGATTTGCGGTCGCCGGCTTCCCATGCGGCTAGTTGGGGAGCGACTTGGCCGGGCGGTGCGGGGTGGGGGGGGGTGCGAAGAGAGGCTTGTGCCGCGTTGGTCGCAGACGACGTGGGCTGTGGGGGGGGGGCGCTAGACCGCTGGTAATGTGTTGTGTCGACCGTGATGTGGATGTCAGCCTATTTCAGACTTTTCGAAGTGTACCGTGGTGTCTCGTCTGCATGAGTGGACTTTCGCGTTTGTTGCTGATGTGCGTGCTTGGCCGAAGATATTTGACGTCGTTGTTTGGGAGACGCGTTCGTGGGTTGGTTGTGCGACGCACTATTGGCGACGTTTGCCCCACTTTCTGTGTCATTCGGGACTTGGTTTACAACAACCCCGAACGTTATCGCATTTTATTCAGCAGTCGTTTGACAACGGCATGCCGCCCCGCAATATTATGACATTTACCGGTTGGTTATACTTGGCCAGAAAATCACCGAAGATGTGCAGTTCTCTAGATACCATGCAATGTAGTAAACGTCTAGCCTCTTCATCGGAGGGACTGACGCCAATACATGGGCCGAAGATGGCCGCGGATTATCATTCTCATAATTAGGGCGACAACAAGTAGTAGTCCACACCTCGCTTCATATCGCTGCCGACCCGTGCACATCACCCCATCATTAAAAAAAATCAACACCCAAACAACTACCGGCACACACTATCGCACAAGAGAAGAAAGTTCAGCTGCCGGCATCGAAAAAGAACGCCTGCCTCGTAGGTTGCAGGTCGTCTATAACGCGGTGCCAAACGAACCACGCCTCTGTACATGCGCACATGCGGCCGCGGTACTTCGAGCGCGGAAGTACAACCACCGCACTCGGGGGGTTGTCTTTCAGCCACTTCCCCCGTGTCTTGGTGGGCTCTAGGAACGACAGCCTGAGCTTGAACGCCACGCCTACTCGTGCTACCCCCAACGCCCGGACTAAGATGCTGAAAGCTTTGCCGTAGGGTGGGCTCGTAACGATCCAATCAGGACGCGCCCCCTCGGTACTAAACATCGCCGTGAACTCCTCCGACGTCGCGTCCAAATGGGTATCCGCTGTCAACCTGCAAGGAGGACAGAGAGAGAAGGACAGTTTTTCGTTTATTGAACATACAATTGCTGTGCTTGCTCTGTGGCACTGCAGCGTGTAACGAAGGCACATCGATTCTGTCGAAAAGAAGAGAACAAAAGATCGGCGAGGGTCAAAGTTGTACGTGCTCCCGATAACGCCGGCAGTTGGGGGACAACGACGTGACGTGCTAGCCCGAGGACAAAAAAACCCAGCTCTTCCTGAGTTGGCTACTTCGCGAGCATTTCAATTGCCCTCCGTGACATGGACCACAAAGAACGGCGACAGCGGCGGCGTCAAGTGTTGGATTATTATAAGGAGAGATCGGGACAGAAGGAGATACTGCATAGAGAGACCGGGATGGTTTTCAATGTTATTTAATTGAAGGCAACAGCAGCAACAACAACAACAACACCTGGGCTCCCTAATTTTCTTGTATCGGGATTGCATCGCGAGTATCAACATAAGGAGCATGAAGAGGAAGTGCGCGGACAAAACATGTATTGTATAGAAAAGGCGCCGCCGTATCTCGAGATCCATTCTCGCCGACATGCGCGGAGCACACACTTGAAGCACAAACAACAACCGTTCTCAACCTACCGGCGATCGCAATCGTTCGTGGAGACGTTTAAGCCATGACCTTCCAGGACCACCTTAATAGCATCGCTTTCCGCCCCACACGCATCCAGCACCCCTCCTGCCAAGTTCACATTCGACAGCAGGGCCTCCACCTGCGAGTGGCGGGGTTCGAAGGAAGCGCATCGGTCCAAGTCAAGCATTGCCTCTACAGCTTGTACAAACACATGCACATCTGTCTGTTGTGGTGCATTCGAGATGGTTACCCATTGTCTCGGCAGCCTAAAATCTCCAGCAACCTAGATACACACGCGAAGGCTACGCATGCACAAAAGAGTTGGCAGAGTTCCGTCAAGTTGGCAGACTCCCGTGCCGCTGGTAGGGTTCGGTCTCCTCTCTCACCTGCTTCGGGGTGGACGGGTAGCGCCCCGTAGGAGATGACTGGCCCACGCTCATGATATCCCAGGAGCCCTTTTTGTCTTTGGCTCTCCCTAAGCGGAAAAGGGAGTACATCCTGTACACGCAATCCGCGCGCGCGCACAAGCACTCCCCTGCCGCCGGAGGGTCGCTCTGTAGATTTCGTTCGTGCCTCCACTTACTGCCTACTTCCGCAGACCATTCTACGATTGCCGACCAATACGGTGTGCTGCACACGTGCTTCCAACCTCCACCACCATCATCGCGAGTACCTGGTCTACCACAGGCGAAACAGGCAGGAGTTTCTCCTGGTGCATTCACCCTCCCATGCACAACGCGACCGCAAGCTGCTAATTTGGTCATACCGCAAAATGGCGGGAAATGGTGGCTGGACACCCACCTTCAACGCCAATTTCTCCACCAACCCGCGATTTAAACAACACCCAACAATGTATTCTCTCGAAAGCCAGGGACCTAAACTCTAGTTTCCACCCTCTACTGGAGCGTAACAGAGCGTTGCAACTAAGCTTGGTGCACTCGCTCGCACCGACCTCTGCCTGCTTGGGATAGACCACGCACGTAGCTCCGGCGGCCATATACAGCAGTGCGCTCTCGATTACCCTCCAAAAGAGTACCAGCTCTCACACAGTAGATAGGAAGCAGTATTCTCCACACTCGTGGCGTGTTGGGGGCTGGTAGGGCGTGGTATCGACGCTGAGGTGTGCGACCGTTGACGGGGGGATGATTTACGGGAAATCCCGCAATACCGAAAAGCCTCCATCTCTCTTTTCGTATAAATTTGGGCGTCTTTTTTTGCGTTAGCGCAACACACACCTTACCCTTTCTACCATTTGATAGCTTCGTGGCTTCAGACAATCAGTGGCGACCCGTGGGTTGTTCTACAACGAGAAACGGTGGACAATTGGCAACGCATCATCGGAAAAGGGTGCCAAAACCAAGGGTGCGGCGGAACCTCTCGCAAATACCACTGAAGCTGCTACGTACTGCAATTGCCGGCAGTCAGAGGGGTGCATGCCCCGCAGATGGTATCGGAGGAGGGGGGTATCGGTTTCTCGGATTGACAAGGCGTTTTCTGGCGTTTCGCATGAACATTGAATTCTTACACACTCGTTGTTGTTCTCGTACTGCCTCTGCTCTTTCTTGTTCTTCGGCGCACATCATGAGCATCGATCATTCGGTTCATTTCTGGGTAGCGGGCAACACGCAATAGCACCAGAGAGGGACACGCCTTTTACGCTCCAGTAGACGGGTCAAGGTGAGAGCTTTGTCGTGTGTAGCTCGTCTTTGATCCTCGTAGGAAACTACAGTACTCTGCACACCATCATTCTCTCGTGTGACGATCAAGCGGGTGGCCCTGGTCGATGTTCTCCGTGCGCATGATGAACCGTATCGAATTTTCTTCATCAACTCCTCTGCAGCGGTGCCACCTTTTTCTTCAACAATTCCTCTGCAACCGTACCGCCTCAACGCGTCAATGACTTCACCGCATTTTTTAGTCAGGAGAGACAAGGGCAAAGGAGCAACCACTACGCTTTCTCGTGCGGAGTAGTCAGCATGCATGCAGCAACAGCATGCAGCTTGCTTCCTCAGTTGCGACTCGGGCGAGGCTGGCTCCTCGAAGCGTGATCCCGTGGACCCCGAAACCTGCCCCAAAGATTCCCGGACCTCTACCTGGCGCGTACAACCCATCGACCGCTCTCCGGCATCATGACCCGGGGGAAACTTCATCGATCCAGGTGAGGTCAGTGTATGTGACAGCATTCATCATACGCATTATCGGTTCACACCACACTACAGTTTATGAGTCTCAGGGCCAATATGTGACCGAATCGGGTCAATTAAGAAGGGGTTATTACCTCTTCGATACATGCAGTTGGCCGCATCTATACATGCATTCTGTTCCCGCAACAATCATATTGGGGCTGAATCGCGGGTACCATATAAAGTATTGTCGTCATGTGGCCGAGATTTGGGTTCGAGTCACAGTTTTCGGCCCTCCATCTTGTGTATACACGCTCTCTGTGTCTCGTATTCATGTCGGGCTGAGCCGCGCAATAATAGCGTGTAAAGAGAGAAGACAACGCTCCTTGGTATTGTTGGGCGGTACCACAGCTGTAGTACGCTGGTTGGCGTATGTGGTAGAGGCTTGGTAGAGAAAACAAAAAGAGTGATTTATTATCCACACACAGACGCCTGGACTGTCTGCACCTGACGGTAACAGTAAAACAGAACGCCTTCACTATACCGCATCAAACACATACAGCAGAATAGAGTCGGTCTTGCACAGCAAACACCCCAACATGTCCTCTCAAGAACGTACGTCATTCTGATACATGAGACTCGAATCTTCTCTCGATGTCCTCTCAAAATAATGTCCTCTCGAAAACAACTCACGAGTACTTGCGATCTCAACTCAAAATTAAATAGTCATTACCTGCCATTTCAACAAGCAGCGAAAACATTCCTCTTACACAGATCTCCCGAGCTTCCTTCAACATTCAACTCTTAAGATTACGAAGAGGGGAGGTGACTACATTCCTAGAAGCTGGCTACATTCCTAGAAGCTGTAGTGGAACCTAGTCGGAAGAAGTTGGGCGTCTTCGGGCGGAAGCACCCAGTCGAACACGTCGTGGTCGTAGAGCGACTGCTCTTCATCGTTCATGCTCGCTCTCCAGCGTGCTGCATCCGGTCCACTCATCGCTTCATCGTAGGTGGCAGGATCGGCAGGCATGTAGCCCACCTCCCCGGGACTGCCTCTCCCGAGGTTGCCGAAGTCACTTCCAGTCACCATAGCATGTTCGGTCCTCTCGTACGCCTGTTCTTTCGTAAACAGATTCAACCGTTGCGGCGCCACGGAGTTCCTGCTGCTGCGGCGAGGTGCCGGTGCTTCCGGCTCCGATTCGTCGGATGATTCTTCGTTATTTTCTTCTTCTTCTTCGATAGAGTCTACCAGACCAGGCCGATAGAATGTTGAGTTAGGCGCGGGGAGAGGATCTTGCCCTAGTTTGGGCTTGATCACGTCGCGCATCTCCTTCTCACGGAATGATACCTCCACGGAGTTGGTGATTTTGAGAGGCTCCGAAGGCTCCCAAAGTCGATACGACCTACCCTTGGAGTTGTAGCCTACTAGGTACATTTTCTTGGCCCTGGCCGCCAACTTGTTCGACCGGGCGCGTACCTCTTCGTGCTTAAAAGCCAGCGACCCCCACTCGTGGATGTGAAGCATCTTTCCGAGCGGCTTCCCCTCCCATACCTCGAGTGGTGCCTTGCCGCCCAGGACTTCGGTCGGGGTCCGATTCTTGAGGTAGATTGCAGTCATGAAAGCCTCCCCCCACAGCTGTTGAGGAAGGTGCGGTGCTCCCAAGAGAAGCTTGCGGGCAGTGCCGATGATGGTACCAAATCCACGCTCGGCGATGGGGTTCCCTTGCGGGACATAGGGGGGGCTATTCGTGAGCTTGATTCCGAGCGACTTACATAGCGCCAGAAACTTGCCCAAATACTCCGCTCCCCCGTCGCAGTGCACCTTGCCGATGCTCTGACCAAGCGGGTCGGCCTCGTCCCGAACCAGATTTTGAAGAGCTTCGGTCGTTTCGTCTTTCGTCTTGAGTAGGTAGCCGAACCTCATGCGAGTAGCGTCATCAGTAAACATCACGGCACTCTGGCAACCCCCGTATGTAGCAATAGGATGTTTCCCCCACGTATCGGCATTTAGAATTTCCAGCCGAGTCTCCGAGAGGGGACGGTTAGACGGGGGGTGGCTGCCCTTCTTACTGTCACCAACCGCACAAACACCGCAGTCACCTGGTTCGATGTTGCGATTGAACCTGATTCCGGTAGTGTCCTTGTCCGCCAGCTGCTGCAGCGCTCGCGAGTTGCAGTGGCCCATCCTCCGGTGCCACAGGTGAGCGTCTACCTTCGTGCGATTTACTTCTACAGCGCCCAGGTTGACGTCGTCGATGATGACATTCAGCACGTACATGCGAGGCACTGCGGTCGAGATCGGAAAGACCTGGTTGCCCATGCGAAGCGCCGGCGGGGTAGACATCAGATCACACATCACCCCCTTCTCGGCCAGCGCTCCAACCGAAAGTATGTTCGCTCCAAGGCCCCGAACCAGCAGAACCTCCAGAGCTACTCGCACGACTTGGTCTTGATCATTGCGCACCCCAAACTTCAGGGTACCTTTCTTGGTTGCGTCGGATGTGCCACACGACCCGATAATGCGCACAGCGCAATCTACCGGATTGAGGACGTGATGGGACAAGCGAGACTGCTCATCCACCATGTGGCTGGACGCGGCGGAATCAATGTAGCAGGCGGAATCATCAACGACCTGCGGTTTCTCTTTGTCCACCTGAAACACGCTGCTGAACGCAACGAGCTCGGTGTCCTCAGGCGCCTCCTCCGTCTGAGAATATCCGTTGGCAGCAGGGTCATAGACCACCGCTGCAGCAGGTGTGTCCAGTACCTGCGGGTCATACACAACGCGTGCATCCTGCAGCGTCGGCACCGGCGCGTCTTGCACCAGCGTGTCACCAGCAGCGCGCTCCTCTGGCTGCGCCGCAGCAGGCGCATCCTGCACCTGCACGTCTTTTCCGAAAGAGATGGCGTAGTCCTCCAGCACATCGCCTTCAGTCTCCACCCGCGTGAACCATGCCTGAGTGGTGGAGTCTTGAGTGTGGTGAGTATCAGCCTGTTCAGTGGCTTCCTCCGCCTCGTGCCTCAGGCGGAGCGGGCAGTTGTGCCATCCGTGCTCTGTCGAATTATGACAGTAGCGGCAGCGCCCTTTTCGGTTCCGACCGGTGTCCTGGCCCTTACCTCGGCCACCGGAGGCGTTGTTGCCGCGATAATTCCCGCGAGCACCTTGCGCATTTCCCGCGCTGCCGCCTCCAGCGTTGCCGGCCGATCCGCCGCCGCTGCTGTAGTTCCCATTCGACGAGCCGTTCGTCGAACCGTTTGTAGTTCTGCCGCCATTTCCTCGGCGACCACCACGACCACCACGGCCGCCGTGCTTGCGGAAGCCACGTGCCCCTCCGTGCGTGACAGTGTTCAACGCACGGCCGTGGCCGCCCGACCCATCGTCTTGGTCGAGCACTTTTCCGCGAATTTGCATTGCGTGGTAGAGTGTGGCACGACGTGCGATATCGTCGAAGCCTAGCGCACCGCTACCAACAGTGGGCGACTCTACCAACAGTACAGTCTTGAACGAGCCGTATTGCTTGTCGGGCAGGGCCTTTAGGATGGCATGTGCTTGCCGTTGTTTCACGACTGTGTCTCCGAGTTTGCCGAGTTCGTGAAAGATGCGGCGCAATTGTTGGATTGCGCGAGCCGGATCGTACTTGTCAGCAGCGGTGACCGCGACGGCGGCCAACTCATCGTGTAGCTGCTGCATTCTGAAAGTCCCATCGACACGGTACTTTTGCTCGAGCGCTACAAAAGCACTTCGACCGTCACCGAACTCCTCGTCCCCGACAGGCCCAAACGACTGCACTACCTGCGAAGCCGGGCTCGAGTATCCTTCCGGGCAGTCCGACGTAGCCAGCAGAAGCCGCGTGTAGAGTTTGCCATTCTTTTCTTGGAACTTTTGTAGCTTCCTCTCGTACGTCGCGGTCGCTGCGGCGTCGGCATCCTCCGCCACCGTGGGAGCCTTCTCCGCTCCAGACATGACCCGACCTAGGTCTGNTGGTAGAGGCTTGGTAGAGAAAACAAAAAGAGTGATTTATTATCCACACACAGACGCCTGGACTGTCTGCACCTGACGGTTACAGTAAAACAGAACGCCTTCACAATACCGTATCAAACACATACAGCAGAATAGAGTCGGTCTTGCACAGCAAACACCCCAACAGGTATCTTCTGTATGCATACAAACCCCGACCGGCCTGAATGGGTTTCGCTGACAAAGCTGAAGGGACGGCTGGGTACAGTAGCAGATCCCATGCCATCCGCACCTAAAACCTGGTGTTTTTGAGCGCGGATAGAACGGGGAGAAAAACATCACACTGCTGCGAAGACTATGATACTGCTCAGGGGATAAGTAGAGCACAGGTAGAAATCTGTTTCGCTTCTGTAAGAACACAGAAGATAGTCTTCTTACTCGACTGACTTCATCTAGTCTGCTTTTTTTTACCCCGCGTCCAAACTGTCCCTCTGGTTGAGGATAGGAATTTGCGAGGATGGTTCCTGCTGGCGGTTTATACGTGTTCAGTGTGACATCGGTGCACACAAACAAGAACCACAGAGACGCACACACGCTGACACACCGTCAAGAGGAGACCTTCATTGTTGTGTGGGGCTCGCATGAATGGGGGCGCGGGTTCGTGGTACATTGGGTGACCGCCAGGGGTATGACAAAGGAAAATTGAGAAGCAACTGACTGCCCTGACAACAATCAATAGCAATAACACAGAGGATAGATCCAGCGTAGCAGTTGGTCCAAGTTAACTCTGCCTCATCATTTGTACGGGGGATATGGCAAGCTCATACTAGAAGCAGTGCCGGAGGCGAAACCGTTCGAGGGAAAGTGCCTCATACACACAACGGCTGGAGCGATGCCAGGTAACGGCTTTTGTAGAATCCGCTACATATCGTCCGTGATGCACCGCGGCGACAATGGCGATCACGACAGTGTTCAGAAGATCCAGGGTTACAGAGCACAGAGCCCATCACTTAAGGTCTTGGCAATCGTGTGCACCATTTCCTACTAGAGAGAATGGTTGTGCAAACGGTAAAACGGCCCCTCTTATGTCCTCTCCCGGTGAAGAACACCATTTATTGGCCTTCACAGATTCAGTAAAGATGACAGTTTTACTCGACAACCTTGGCGAAGAGGACGTCTCGCCGGTCCTCACTCACACTTGTGTCGCGACCAGCCCTTGCACAGGAATGTTTCGTGTAAGCTCTACCTTTGCACTGCCGAACCTTTCCGGAATTCCTCATCCCCGCATCCACGCACTATCGCCCCTCCAAGACCGTGAGAGACGAGACAGAACTGGCGCAGCTGTTGGCCGCCACCCGGCACACCTCTCTCGTAGTAGTCAAGTTCGGCGAAGCTCCCTGCAAAGCTTCCAAGGCGGTCGAGGAAAAGTTCAAGCAAACAGCGGCTGAGTTTTCCGCGTGCGATAGCACGGACAACAGGGTTTTCGCCTGATTGAGAGCGGAGTATACGATTGAGAGCGGGAGCCAAAAAAATTGAAATTTCGGGTCCAGACGCCTCTTGCCATTTCTTGGGAAGTAGGGGGCGGGCTCTTCCAAGAAGCGGCGCAAATTGAAGGTCTCATCAGCAGCGTCACGAGCATATGCGTGTCATCGCGATCGGATGCTGCAGCTAGGAGCTAGACAAGTTGCTAGATTTCCCCAGATTGGCTATTCCTGCCTCAAACTGTTTCAGGGCGATTTGATCGCGGGCGGTGAGCTCTGCTGTAGATTCTGCTCCCCGCTGTAGCTCCACAACGAGAGACGCCCACAGGATGACCAGGGTATCGGCTTGTAGCTACGGGCTAGGCCTTCAATTCAAGTCACGCAGCAAGCTCCACCTCTCAGCGGTAGTCCAGCTACAGCGCATTGCGCAATCTCGCTCTCAATCAGAAACTTCGCTCTCAATCACACGAAAACCTTGTTGGACGTGCAATTCGCCAGCGTCGATTCGGGCGGCAATTGGTCTGTGCAAGATAATGGGCGTCAGATCGGTGCCCCACGTACAGGGGTGCTCGAGAATGAATCGCGACTGTATGTAGGAGAAGTGGCATCAGCAAGCAGGCTTGCCTTCGGTCCGGCATGACAAGCCAGGGTCTCATGCGTATTTTCAGAGCTGACAAGATTAAGTAACCTGTGTATACCACCTTTGTCTTCGGGACCAGGTATAGACTACTATTGTAGCAAGATGCTTGACGCTTTATCTCAAAGGTTGACCATATGCCCCGCCATTGAGTCGTTTCTGGATAGCCCCACGCCAAAAAACGTGGGTGGTTGGTCGGCCAGAGAACCGAACGTGAGCCTACGCAAGTATTGCACCAGAGACTGTAAAGGTGGGTCCAGACAGCAAAAAAGGAACATACACGAAGCTCTTTAACATGACGTGTTGTGCAGAAAGGTAAAGCTGAAATCCCAACGGTTGCACGTTAATGTAACTGGCCCATTCCCGACAATTTACCGAGTTGATAGTCTCTCCGCCGCCGCGCCGGCTGGACCTGTTCGTTCGCTCTTTCCTCGACCTGTTTCCCTCAGATATTTTCAGGCCTCAACGGCAAGATTGCCTACTTCAGCCTTGCCCCTCCCTAATACGATACCCTCGACGCTCTGCTCAGTGAACGACGCAACTCGATGCTCGCATGGAAACAGTAGGAAGCTCAGACATTAGAACAAAAAAAACATGCAGGTGCTCTTCAGTCAGAGCGCGTTCCCGCTTCCAATACCTGACGTTCGCCAGACTCGTTAGACGGATAGAGGTTGTTTGCGAACGTGGATCTTACACGTTGGGGCGGGGCATGAAGGGACAAGCCCCATGGCTTCTGTGACTGGCCTATTCGCCTGATTGGCTTGTGATAGTCTGGGGGGCACAGAGTGTCCTGAACACTGCTGGAAAATGTAGACTACGACGGACCAAGCAGAACAACGGGTCATCGTTGAAGTTTCGTTTCTTGGGGACGTATGTTCCTGCTGCTTGTAGTGTAGTCCCCATGTTATTCGTCGTTAGCCCGTCTGCTTGTTGTGTTTATTTTTCGACCTTGACACTGTCCACGAATTAGTATAGATATCGGAGACGCCGTGTGCTTGTTGCTGGGGCCAATAGTTGCAGGCGCAAGCCTTAAAAAGCGTTGGGGGGGGGGGGAATTGGCTAAAAGAAGTTCAATCCGGCACGTATCGCGCCACTCGGTCCGTCTATTCTCGTTTGCTTTCTTCCCTCGCCATCTTGTCCGTCTCCTGCCCCCCTCCCGCCCCATTGGTTGGTGGCTTGTGGTTCCGTTTGAGCGCCCGTTGTCGGCTGGCCTCTTCTTCCTTCTCGTGCCAGGAGGTCATGAACCTCTCAGCTCCCTACAGCGCCGCCGCATGCCAGGGTACTCCCCCTCTACCTTCGCGGCTTCCGTCCACTTTAACGTCGGTGCCGTGTCTTTCGGTATCGGCATTCCGAAACAACATGGATCGGTTTTCGTAGATCCGTGGTCGGCCCCGAATGCCTTCAGGTCGTCGAGCAAACACGTCGGCCAGTTCTGTTCCTGTCTCCCCCTACGTCGCTTCTTCCCCCCTGTCAGTTCGCCGAACATCAGTCGTTTCGGGAGTCGCCCCGGCTGCCTTGCCAATGCTCCCGCGAACAGTAGGCGTCGTTGTCGGATCGTGGCTTCAACGCTCTGGCATTCGACCCTCTTCAGCGTCTGGGCGTAAGAGAGCTGCCG